GGTGACGAACTGCTGCACGTCTGCTGCCATCCGGGGCCAGTAGTAATACTTTGCTATTCCTGCTAACGTCTTGTTGCTCCCGAAATGTCCCGCATATGGTACGTCATGAAACTCCTCCAATAGGATCTGCCGTAGCGCGGCGTAATTCGGTACCCAAATCTGGAAGGAGCTTATGGGACTGTTGGGGACTAAGCTTGCGATGTCTTCAGCATACCATCCCCAGACTGACGGACAGACAGAGCGACTCAATCAAGTGGTTGAACAGTTACTGCGCACAGCTTGCAAAGACGACATCAGCCACTGGGACACACAGTTACCGACCTTAGAGTTCGCTTACAACAACGCCTCGCATGCGGCCACAGGGAAAACTCCTTTCTTCCTGTGTTATGGGCGGGAACCACTCACACCACAGCAGCCAACCACACCGGCACACGTCCAAGCCGCACACGACTTCGTCACCACCATGCAGCAGCTATGGGAGAAGACTCAGCGACGTCTCACCACGATGCAGAACTCCCAGAAGCAGTATGCCGATCGTCAGCGACGAGATCACTCAGTAGCAGTCGGAGATCAGGTGCTTCTTGACACGCGCAACTTGAACCTGTCACACCTACCATCCAAACTCCGGCTTCGCTTCTGTGGTCCTATTCTGGTGGAGGAACAGATGACACCAGTTACATTCCGCTTAAGCTTACCAGATACATGGAAGCTTCACAACGCTTTCCATGTTCAGCTACTGAAGCCCTACAAGGACCCCAACCAACAGTTCCAAGGACGGCAGCTACCGCCACCCGTACTCGTGCAGGATGAACCAGAGTACGAGATCGAGCGTGTTCTCACTCATCGGCGCCGCGGCGGCAAGACCCTCGAGTTCCTGATACGCTGGAAGGGATACGACCCCACTGAGGACAGTTGGGTTGCAGAAGCTGATATGGGCAATGCACGCCGTGCTCTCAAGGACTATCTTGTCAAGCAGGGTGTATCTCACGCCACCTAGCTTTGAGGGGGGACGTGTGAGAGTACGACGGCTTATGCTGGCTTTGCTAGCTTGCCTTTACTTTATTATGCATTATCTAGCTTAGCTTTGCTTGATTTTGCTTGCTTTTGCTAGATTTCCTAGGTTCGTTGCTTTTACTATATTTATTATAGTTATAGGCACCGAACTAGGTTGAGTGCACCGAATTCTAGGCTTTTCGGTTGCCACCGAATTGCCTTCTACCGAATTCGGGAAGGGTCTGTTCGGGACGCTTCGCAACCCTCAAAACCTTCGCGCAACACCTGGTTACAGGGCCTTGTGTCGAGCCTATATATAGCCTCGTGTTGTACCCAGGTGATCATTCAATTCAAACTCTCTTTTTTGAGCTCGATCCTAGATCCTCACAATCACTCTCACAACCATGCCTTCCCCCGCTGTCTAGCTTCTATTGTAGAGTGGCTCTGCGCAGAATGAATGCTGGCTACTAAGCATGGCAATTCATCATGCGCACCTGCAAGGCGACCGAGACCGATGACCTCTACATTTCCAAACTAGAGCAAAGATTGGCCAACATTCGGATGGGCGAGCAGGAGTCAGTGACTGAGTACTGCAATCGAGCTCGGTGAATCTTGGCTGACTTGCGGATGGCCGCCGTCGACTACTCGGTGGCGTCGTATGTCACGCACGTCATTGGAGGCCTTCCCACAAACTACAATCTAATGTGCCGGGTGCTGACAATTCCCGGCTCGCGCGAGACTCTGAACGAGGATTCGCTTTCGAGTCACATCATCCAGGAGCGAGTTCATGCAAGAGTCCGAGCAGTCTACATGCTGGGGTTGGCTAACCGACGGAAACTGATGGTGATCGAGTGGGCGGCTATTGTACGTCCGAGATTTTTGGAGGCGAACTGCACTTGCAACTACGGGGCTGTTTTTGAGCGACAATTTCAGAGTTTGACGAAGGACTTACCGTTTTTACGGCGAGGAGCGCCAAAATTTTGGTGGCAGTACTTGCGTCACTTGGTAAAACGCGCGCGACAATGACGTGGGCCAACACCGCAGAAACTACACAGAGTTTTAAGGGGTGCGAACGACTTACGACGAACTGTAGAAGACGGCATCAACAGTGAAGAAGTTTTGTTGGCTATCAGCGCATTACGACAAATCTCTCGGAGGATACATTCCAAGTCTTATGCTGACAACTTACCTTCGACCCGCCCACGACAAGTGCATTAATTTCGACTACGTCAGGTGCTGCTAGCTGCAGCTGCGGAAAGTTCCACCAAGAATTTTGGTGGAGTAACGACAAATTTGGACAGTTTGAGCAACGTGCATTTTCCATCACGGTTTTTGGTTAGTACGATGGACGATCGCGATCACACCGACACAATCAATATATTATGCTACACCACGATTGAATTTCGCGTCAGCAGGTTCCTTCCCTTTTTGCGTTAGTCTTCGACCGTCAGATCTACATCTGCCCGATCAACGGCCCACATTCCAACTTCATTTTGGGCCAGGTTATCGTCGACCGTCAAATCAAAGTCAAACTTCATCAACGACATACATTCCAACATTTTCCAATTTATTACCAAGGGAGTTATTAGACCAATGGCATCCTCGCTACTATGGGACTTGTTTTTAGCACAGAGCTGCCTTATTTGGGAGGTCGGGGAATGCAAGGATTTATAAACCCTTACTGAGGCACTCGTTAGCGAGGCCATCCCGAGGGCCACGCGACCAACTGGTTCGGCCTACAATTTCGCATCCAAACCTCACCGACCCGCCTCCGCACCAATCGCGGCCCTTCACGAGCCAACCTTTCCCCACCTCCCTGCCTACATCGGGAATTTTGGGGGTCCCGCAATCGGTTGGGAAACCACTAGCTGGCGAGTGGTTTTCGGCTCCAGGCATTTGCCTGGTTTTGGCGATTGGTTTTCTATCCTAGTGGCATCTAGCCGCAGATTGGTTTCCGAGTGGGCGAATGATTGCCTGCCAAACCTGTTCAGATGGTCTGGAAACATTCGGCGAACACGCCGAGGACACCTGGCGGAAACAAATTGGGCGCGAAAATAATCTGATTGGTTGCGCACTTTCATTTTGTTGAATGTCGCGACATCGTCGTGAACATCGATACCTACACCTAAAAAATGGCAATGCTATCCTAACATCCTGATATGTTCGAATTGTGACAGTATCGCAGCAAGATTTATTATTGATAGCTACACTTGCAAAATCGTTAGAGTAACACGTGCGTACACTTATAACGGTAGATTAAGAAATATAAAAATTATTGGTAAATATACATACGGCTGGTAATATACGATTTTTTTTTTTACATCAGCTAAATTGATTCAAAATCTCTAGCAATATTGACCCGTGAGAGGCAAATATCAACAGTAAAATGCATTATTAAAAAAAAAAACACACA